TAATGAAGATTATTTAAATTCTTTGTTGACATGATTACAAATAAAAATGGCTAGTCAAACAAGTATTGGATTTTTGTATTTTAATGCTGTATGCCAACGCAAGGCCCTGTATTGTTAACAGCTAGAAATGATATTATAGCTAAAAAGATGTACTTTACAAAAATAACAGATTTTATAAGTAACATCACTTCAAATGATTGGTTTTATATTGAGTTTTCAATGATTCATATGAAAGCTGTGTAGATCTGAGGACTTACCTGACTTTTTATGTTTTTTGGGTTTTTTTTTTTTTAATGTTCTTGAAAGATAAACCCATAGACTTGCTCTTAGATGACATCTTTATGATTCATATGAAAGCTGTGTAGATCTGAGGACTTACCTGACTTTTTATGTTTTTTGGGTTTTTTTTTTTTTTAATGTTCTTGAAAGATAAACCCATAGACTTGCTCTTAGATGACATCTTTCAGGTAAAGATGTGTAACCCAGGAGTAGTTCTTTCAGGTAAAGATGTGTAACCCAGGAGTAGTTCTTACAAATTGTATACAACAAAAGAAGCCAATTTGTATTCCATATAAACCTTCTCTTTTCCAGCATGTTGATATACTTTCATCATTCCCAGGAAAAGAACAATATTATAAAAATCATTCTTTGGAAAAAATGGTGTAGCAAGATTTAGACTATTTCTCAACTTTCTTAAGAGTAAATAAGAGGTGGCATCATATTTTTAAAAAGTAAGGCTTCAGTAATAAACTGAAAATATGAAGAAAATGAGCATAACAAAAAGAAACACTGTAATACCTGGCACCTCAGATAAACTTGATTTCTAATAGCATGTTTCAGAAAATGTAATAATGAAAATACATAACTATCTAGAAGAGGAGAAAACAATGAACAAAGTAGTAGACTTAAAGTATTAAAACAATCTCTTATGTTAAGAAAAATTAAGAGTGTTTGTTTATAATATTTGTACCCTGACTATTATAATTTAATTTTAAAATAGTAAAGGTAGGGAAGTTTTGAAAATTAAGAACAGTATTTTATTGACTTAGTGAAGCCATCACATAATCTCAATATGTAGCTAAAATTCAGAAATGTGCTATTGTCTTGGACAAGTTGTGTGTGAATTGGTATATGCTCTTATCCATTTGTTAAGACACCTAAAGAAATAGAAAGCCCAAATTTCAGCAAGCCTTGGTCTGGCCATGCCACAGCATCTTCTTGTCTTTTAATAAATGGGTTTAAAACTATTAACTTGCCCCTAAGTGCCATTTGAACTGATTATCAAACATCTTGATATGTATATATTCTAATAGTCATTCAGCTCAAAGATGTCATACTTTCTCATTACTTCTTACTTATGAACTGTTTGAAAGTGGGTTTTTTTTCTGATTTTTTTCCCCATTGTTTATTGTTCATCTCTAATTTAACTGCATGGTTGTTAGAGAACTTTGTGTGATAAAATTTGAGAGTTGTAAATCCTTGTGTTCCATATGATTTTGAAGAGAACGTATAGCCTCTCTATGCTACCTCTTGAAATATATTGCATTCATTTCTTTTTATAAATGTTGTTTTTATGTTTTTTAAAAAAAAGACATCTAATTATATCTGAGGTTTGTGAAGGCTTTAAATCCTAACTCTGACACTAACTACCTGGGTAGCCTTAGGTGGATCAATAATCTTTTTGTGAATCAGTTTCCATTTCTGTGAAAAAGACACAGTGCCCGTTAGACCTACTCACAGCATAGTCATGAGAATGAAATGAAGTAACATTTTTTAAAAAGTGCTTACTCATACTTAGCCAGCCTGAGGAGGACAGAACTTGCCTCTGAGTCATTAAGATTTGTCTTTTCGGGCCGGCCCGGTGGCGCACTGCTACAGTGCGCCGCTTGGCAGCGCGGCGGCGCTCCCACCGAGGGTTCGGATCCCACATACAGACCGGTTCCCGCTCACTGGCTGAGTGAGGGGCGGACGGAGCACCGAGGGTTTCGATCCCGTTGCTGGTCCCGGTCCGGTCCGGGCGCGACACTGAGGGTTGCGGTCCGTTGCCGGACACGAAAAAAAAGACAAAAAGGAAAAAAAAAATAAAAATTTTCCAGGTGGTCACCCGTGGAGGTGTATCTTCTTTACGTAGATCTTGAGCACACAACTTAATTCTAGAAACCT